AGGTTCCTGCAAAGAGCTGCTTACAAATCCCCCCTGTCAGATATTGTTTCATTCCAAAGGGATTAGGGACAAAGGTGCAGCGTCTGTAACTTCTTTGTGCTGAGAAAGGGTATTGGGGTCTTAGAATGGAAGATTTCAGCATGGGTCTGTGGCATCTCTTTGCTGACAATTTTAGTCGCCTGCTTATGTATTTGAGCAGAGAAAGCTACAATTACTTTGATGCTCACAGAAACATAGATGATCACGAGCAACAGTGTTAATCCCATTCTCTTGAGGCCAGTTCTTGGAACTGTGCTGGTCACAGACTCAGTACTGTTTAAGACGGAGCAGCAGGTGTCATGGGTATAGTCTGGTCATCACACAGCCAGCTTTTTCCTTCCGGCGGCAGTTACAGAGTGTGTAAAACAACTCAGGAGTGTGCAACACACACACACAGGTCTGTGACTCTCTTGTCCTAATCACCAACCACTTGCGTGTGCGCTAAGTCGCTTCAGTCATGTCCAGCTTTTTGCAACCTATGGACCATAGCCCGCCAGGCTACTCTGTCCTTGGGACTCCCTAGAAAAGAACACGGGAGTGGGTTGCCATGCCCTCCTCCAGGGGATCTTCCCGACCCAGGCACTGAACGAGTGTCTTTTGCATCTCCTGCGTTGGCACGTAGGTTCTTCACCCCTGGTGCCACCTGGGAAGCCCCCGTTAGCTGCTTGAGCCTGCTCCCTAATGACTCAGGGAGATCTAGGAGACTTGCGATCTTCAAACAAGAGGCAGGTGACATGGGGGTCCTTTGTACTTGGGGACCCCACGGAGCTCTGCTCAGTTCCGCTCTGACTCTGGCCAGCAAAGGCAGCACGCGTGGGCAGCGCGTCTCTCCAGGAGCCCAGGTCTGGAGAAAGGAGCAGAGGGGCTGGACCCGCTGTGTGACTGACCACTGGTCTAGAGGGGAGAGCCTCTAGGGCCTCTGGGGAGCCGGGCTCAGATGAAACCTCCTGCCTCCTGAGCCCCAAACTTGCTCTCAGCAAGTCGCCCCACCTCCCCTGTCTCTTTCTGCATCTCCGGAAGGGGGCTCAGCTGCCGCCTCACAAGGCCATCACGAGATTGGAGCAAGAGATGTCCTGACATTGCTCCCCAGTGCCCATTCCCTTCTCCGCCTATACTAAGGTTCTGGAATCTTCTTTCTCTCTAGAGGTGATGAGAAGAGGTCATCAGCAGAAACAGAGTACAGTTTAAACTATCCATTATTTGCATTCACACCTTATGAATCTTGAAGGCCAGTGGTGGCGGAGAAATATGAAGTCAACTTAGAATCCTTTCAGACAAAAGTCCTGAGTTTTCACAGAAATCAGGGACAGTGGTTTAGAGTTGTTATTCATGCTACTATATTATAACAAGCAGGCTGCCATTCATGGGGTCGCAAAGAGTTGGATACAACTGAGCGACGAAGCATAGCACTTCCTGACTTAAAGACTTAATAAGTATTAATTTTGAGTTTACAGAGTACATTTGCAGAGATAATCCCACTTGACCTGAAAAACAATTTTGTAATGCAGGAAAGGCAGAACTTAATTTTGCTCAGGTAAATTCACTGAGGGTCAGAAACTTATTGTGAGTTACACCTAGTAAAAATGACCACATCAGGGCTCCAGACCCCAGATTCACCGCTGACTCTTCCCTCATCCCAGTGACTTCTTCAGTTCTTACCCATCAGATAGGAAGCATACAAACATGTATGTGATTGCCATTGTAGGTTAAAAAAAAGATATCACGCAACTGTTCAAATTGTTCCACTGGGTCAACCTGTTTTTTTTTTTTTATTTTTTAGACCTCAAAAGTGTGTGTGTATAAATTCTAAGAGTTGCTAGCATTTATCAAGGAACCTTTCCATATAAGATAGTATGCTAAATACGGTGTTGACAGATACTTCCACTTAATCCTCTCAACAACTCTTTGAAGTGGGTATAGTTAACTCATCTTAGAGAAGAGGACACATTATCAGAGAGGTTAAGTAACTTGCTTAAGGTCACACAGCCACACCTTGGGCTCAGAGAAATGTCTGCGTGGCACCAAAGCTCATGTTCTCAGTCCCTGTGCTATTTTACATCAGAGCAGACACCCATGTTTTTCTGGTACCTGCCCCTATTTCTCACACAACCCCAGCTCCCTAGAGGACCCCCAGTACTATGGAAGTGACTTATACATGTCCTCAGATCAATCCCTCAGCTCTCTTGTTATTTGCCCAGTGGCAGCCCTGCCATTTGTTTCAGTAAGTTCAGTTGCTCAGTTTCAGCTTCAGCATCAGTCTTTCCAATGAATATTCAGGGCTGATTTTCTTTAGGATGGACTGGTTGGATCTCCTTGCAGTTCAAGGGACTCTCAAGAGTCATCTTCTCCAACACCACAGTTCAAAAGCATCAGTTCTTCAGCACTCAGCTTTCTTTATAGTTCAAATCTCACATCCATACATGACTACTGGAAAAACCGTAGCTTTGACTAAACGGACCTTTGTTGGCAAAGTAATGTCTCTGCTTTTTATATGCTGTCTAGCTTGGTCATAGCTTTTCTTCCAAGGAGTAAGCGTCTCTTAATTTCATGGCTGCAGTCATCATCTGCAGTGGTTTTGGAACCCCAGAAAAGAAAGTCTGTCCCTGTTTCCACTGTTTCCCCATCTATTTTCCATGAAGTGATGGGACTGGATGCCATGATCTTTGTTTTTTGAATGTTGAGTTTTAAGCCAGGTTTTTCACTCTCCTCTTTCACTTTCATTGAGAGTTAACTCTTGTTTACTCTCCTCCTGTTTTTGGTTTGCCATTTGTTTACTTTCCTCCTAGTCTAATCCCTACTACCTAGGGATGAAACGTTGGCAGTAATCATCTCTGTGACAAAGCTTGCAAATAGAAAGTCAGAAGAGAGAAGTGGTCTGAAGCCATCACCTCCACCACAGTCCTTTGGGACATTGTTCTATCTGCAGGTTGGAGTTGAAGTGAAACTTCTCATCCGATGGTTCCTGAAGCCCCTGCCCATCCGGGGCAGTTGTGTTAAAAAGGCAATTATTTCCCTTCCCTGGTGGTGGTAAAGAATCTGCTTGCACCACAAGAGACCAGGGTTTGATCCCTGGGGCCAGAAGATCCCCTGGAGAGGGAAGTGGCAACCCAGTCCAATATTCTTGCCTGGAGAACCCCACGGACAGAGGAGCCTGGGGGCTACAGTCCATGGGGTCACAAAGAGCCGGACACGCCTGAGCGACTAACACTTTCATTCCCTTCTCTCGCTCCACCTCCTCACGTCACAGTGGATTGTGTTGAACTGTGAGTAGCAAGGCGTGCGGAGCACCTGCTGTGATGCCCACACCGCTGAAAGCTAAAACAAGACAGTGGTCCTCCTTCCCAAGTCTCTGTTCTGTGGGAAGACAGAGCTCCCCCCTTACCATCAGGGTGTCAGTTAGCCAACTAGCGCTTGCCGAGTGATTGCGGTGCCCAAGCAAGCTCTTTTAAAGCAGAGGGAGCGAGTTACACAGACATTACTCACACGGGATTTTTGTTGAAGTTAAGTGTAATCAGATCAACACATCACTCTTTCAATGGGTGAATCTGAGACATGGATGCATCTTTGGCTGAAATTCTCTCTGTCACAGTGTGTGTTATAAAGGGGCTACAGAGTCCACAGCCTGGCCCAAACCGCTCTGGACACACGTAGACTGAGTCATTTGTCAGCTTGTTGAGAAACAAGGAGAAGCCTCCATAAACTTGGGAGGAAAAGCTGTGCAAAGATGTTGAAGGAGGAGAACGAACGCCCCACCACCTCCTCTGAGAGTTTCCAAGCAGCCTCGCCCAGGCAGCGGTGGTCAGCCAGGGCGGGGGCCCCCGGCCACTGCAGGCGTGCTGCCCATGTGATGTCAGGCCGGGGGTCAGGGGGCTGCGGCTCAGGCCGGGGCACTGCCAGCTCTCCAGGCCCCTGCTGGTTTGTCTTGGAGGATGGCTTCCTGATTCCCTTCCAGTCGAGCTCAAACTGATGAAGAAAAGATCTTTTCCACCCACTGCAGTCCTCTTCCCAGGGTCAAGGCCAGCGCGCCTTTCCTTTGTGAGGGATACTGAGCCCGTTCAGTTCAGTCGCTCGGTCGTGTCGGACTCTTTGCGGCCCCATGGACTGCAGCAGCCAGGCTTCCCTGTATTAACCCTCTTAACCGGAATTACTGGATGAATTTTCAGGTGATTTCCTATTGTTCTCAGAATGTAAGAAAACTAAAGGAATTTTCAAAAATAACAACCCTCTTGCCTGATTTGTCACCTGGATAGATTTTCTTACTTCATCTTTTTCTCTTTTTTATTTCTTTCTTATTTTCTCTTTTTCATCTTTATTTTAACTATTTTTGTGTGCGTATGATGCCTAGTATTTTGCCATGGGACTCTGGGGCTACCCCGGGGAATTCCTGAAAAACCACAGGATTTAAAGAGGAAGTTGATGAAGATATTAAAGTTGTTTACAACTGTGTGTCACCGATGCAAGAGAGGTGGGTTGAAAGTGAGCTTTTAAGTGTCCTGGAGGCTCATCTTTCCATCGCACCGGTCTCAGGGTCAGACGTCAAGCAAGAGATGTCGCTAAAAATGGAGGTTGGGATAGACAAAGAAAGCAGTAACTTTAGTGGCTTCATTTCAAACACGGGGGGCGGGGGGCGGGGGGCGGATCACAGGTCAGAACTCCTCAGACCCCCCAGGCTGAGGGCAGCCCAGTCCCCGCCGCCCCTGCCAGCCCGGCTGCCCCCAGCCCCGCCTGTTCCTGCGATGCTGGGAACTGAGTGCAGAGCCCAGACCCGCGGCTGGGTCAGCCCCCTCCCCACTCCCTGAAGACCCCTCGGGGGCTGAAGGTGTGTCCTTTGCTTCCTCAGGGTCAGGCCGTCGTGGAGCCATGAGGCCAGGTCACGCCCGCCCACCGCTGCCGACCTTCGCATCCGTGGGCCCCGAGGTCTGAAGCCGGCCCGGCGGGACCCAGCCGAGCCCCCGGAGGCCATGGCCGAGCGGCATCAGCAGATGAAAACGTCCTTCCTCTTCGTGCAGCTGCGGGCGCCCCCTGCGCGCGTGCGCCCCGCCCCGGCTCCAGCCCGGCCCGCGGCCGCGGGGGGCCCGGAGGAGGGCCGCCCTTTCCCGGGTCCCGGGGCCGGCTCCTCGGCGGGCGGGGCCCTCGGGCCCCCTCCCCGGGCTGGCCCTCCCCCGCCGAGGCCGGGCCGTGGGACCGCGGCGCCAGCCGCCCCCTGTTGCTCGGCTCCCGCGGAGGGAGAGGAGAAAACCCGGGCCCTGGATGCGCGGAAGGGGCGCGCTCGCGGACCCCCCGGTCTCAGGCGCTCCCCGGCCCCCGCCTCCGGCGCGCGTGGACGGCGGCAGGCCCGGCCATGCAGACCCCCTAGCCCGGCTCCCGGCATGGGCGACGGCGGCCGCAGCCCCTCGGTGGGCTGGACTCCCTGGTCGGACGGTCCTGCCCGCCGGGACGTGTGGAGCACCGGCCCGCAGGCTCAGGACGCCTCGGAGTGCTCCCTTCCGCAGGCCCAGGCTGCCGAGGGCGCTCAGAGCCAGGGGTCCCGGGGCGGAACCGAGGCGCCGGCCCGCAGCCCCGCGCGCCCACCGAGCGCTCAGGATGAGGGCACCCCCGCGCGGGCCAGCCGCGCCAGGCTCTGCAGGCACCGTGCGCCCCTCCAGACCAGCAGGAGCTGCGCCGCCCCGCCTGCCGCCCTGCCTCTCAAGGTAAGAAAGTGTGTGCGGCCGAATCCCCGAGACCCGCGCTCTTGCCAGAGAAGACAAGAGTGGACCAGGTGCCAGATGTCCTGCAGGACCCCCAGCTCCTCGCGCTGGGGTCTCCTGTTCGCTGTGCGCGCCTGGCTCTTTCTTCTTTGCTCCGCCTGCACCATGAGCTTATTGTGTGGAAGGGGAGAGTGAATAGTGCTTCCCAAGTTTCTGTCAGGGATGAGAGCAGGAGAGTTGGGTAGGGATGTGCAACTTTTATGGGGAACCGAGAGAAAGGATGGAGGTGGCACAGAGACACTTGTTGAGCCCTGGGCCGTGCCAGCCTCATGCTGGGCGTTTTTGCCTATATCCCACTTAGCTGCATACCTCCTGGGAAAATGCAGGCTGCTATCTTCAACTTCAGATGAAGAAATTGGGACGTGGCTGGGCAAAAATCCTCCTCTTCCCTTCCGAAATGGAAAAGACAGAAGCAAAACCTATTCTCCAGAATGGGCATGGAGCCTTGGGGAGGTTTCAGGGGGATGGTGGAGGTGCCCAGCACCCTCTGTACCTACGGGACCACCTTCCATCCCTGCCGGTAGGTGGATGTTCGCCCTGGACGTCAGCCTCCAGCCCCCACTTTCCTTCCCATCAGAAGGGAAAGGGTAGCCCCAGGTGGTTTCCAGCATCTCTGCCAGCTCCTTCCCGGCCAAGCCTCCTGTTTGTTATTAACATTTTATTCTCTGCATCTCCACTCAGCCTCCTCACCAAGCTGGTATCTGAGCCCATCTTCCCGGCTCCACCCAGCTTCGGTGTCCCGATCCCAGAATGGGTGGACAGAACTGACAGGTGTGCTTTTGCGTTTCCTTTCCTGATAGCGTGGACGACCTGCTATGCTTTGTACACAGGCAGTGAGGGTGAGGTTGAAGAAGCGTGTCGGGGGAAGGGGTGGTGGGAAGGGGTGGAGGAGGGGCCCTCCTGTTGGAGTGTGTCATTGGTCCCTGTGGAGGGGAGCTCCCCGGGAAGTCACCGGAGAAATGGATGGAATTCACATCAGGAGGGAACCTCTCCCAAGGCTTGGGCTTCATCTGGAGCCCCTGTCTGTCTCCCGTGGGCTTCTAGGGGCTTCTCCTTGCCCCTTTCCTCCTAACAGGCAGCCAGTAGAGTCATGGTGGAGAATCAGGGAGAGAGGATGAGCTCAAGTTCTCTTTGGAGCGAAACTCTGGGAAGAAGAGAGATGCGAGCGTGCTTCCTTGGGAAACGGTTTACATTCCATCCTAGTGCTTGTATCATGCGTTTCCTACGGGGATTTAAGAGGAATGGCATATCCCTGCGTCAGAGCCCAGGCTCCGAATCCGGGGTCACGGGGAGTTGTTTGTGTACTTCGAGGCCGCTCTGATGACTTGAGAGCTTCTCCTCCCCTCCTTTCTCCTCCATCTTCCGGGTGATAAGAAAGCCCCAGAGCTGTTGCCAGTTCTCTTGGGAGAGGCACTGGGGGAGCTGGTCCAGATGGGTCAGGTTCTGCCTCGTCTGCCCACTTTAGCCACGTGTGCTAATGGGCCCCCAGACATCTGGTCCGTCTAAAGCCAGGATGGCAAGATTCCTGGCTAAAGGTGGAAACCCCAGGTTCCAGTCCTAACTTTGAGCAAACCGCCAGAGCTCTCAGTTTTCCCATCAGAAAACACTGTGGACCCACCTGCCCAGCAGGTGCTGTGGGGCCAGTGAGGGTCTCTCGGTCTCCCTGTCTTAGGGGAGAGAAGAGAAGCAGGGTCCCTGAGACCAGGTAGGACCGGGAACCATGGAGTCAGAGGGGTCAGCAAAGGACTCCAGGGTCAGGGGACAAAGCTGGGCTAAACTTAGCCTCAACCAAGCCGGTCGCAGGGTGTGATGCTCTCTGTCCCAGGGAAGAAGTGAAGTGTGAGTCGCTTAGTCGCGTCTGACTCTTTGTGACCTCATGGACTGTAGCCCGCCAGGCTCCTCTGTCCCTGGGATTCTCCAGACCCGAATACTGGAGTGGGTTGCCATTTCCTCCTCCAGGGGAATCTTCCCGACCCAGGGATCATACCCGGATCTCCCGCATTACAGGCAGATTATTTATCATCTGAACCACCAGGGAAGCAGCCGGAAGTCAGCCTTCAGAACGACAAGTCCTTCAGATGTTTGGGGCTGTTACCAGCCAAGTGACTCTGCCTATTTTGGGTGTTAGAGAAGGGAAAAGTCAGCAGAGTGAGGTTTCCACCTGCCCCGCTCTGGGCACATGAACACGCCCTTGGGTCTAACAGATTAGTGCCTGAGCACTGCCCAATCCGAATTTGCGTTGGAATTTAGCTGTTCGGGTCACAGCAAAGCGGCAGCAGATTTCTTGTGAGCCATCAGTTGAGAGGCCTTTCACTGGATACATGCATAGAAATGTGATCAATTACTCCATTTATTGGGAATTCCCTGGTGGTCCAGTGGTTAGGACTCTGCACGACCGGTGCAGGGGACATAGGTTCAATCCCTGGTCAGGGAACTAATATTCCTGTATGCTGCGTGACACAGTAAAAAAAAAAAAAAAAGATTTACTACATTTATTAAAGTGAAGTGTTGCTTATATGGAAGCAAAAATATTTTCCTACGTGTGTATCATAGGATGGAGGTCCTGGTATCAAGCAGACAAGTCTAGATCCTAAGTGTCAAATTTCTTCTTCATTGCACTCTAAATAGCCAAGTCTATTCTTCCCATGTGGTGGTAGTGATAAAGAACCTGCCTACCAATGCAGGAAACATAATAGATGCAGGTTCGATGCCTGGATTGGGAAGATCCCTGGAGGAGCGCCTGGCAACGCACTCCAGTATTCTTGTCTGGGGAATCCCATGGACAGACGAGCCTGGCATGCTATTGTCCATAGGGTTGCAAAGAGTTGGACACGACCGAAGCGAGTTAGCATGCATTCTTTCACTGTTGAAACAGATGGAGTCCAGAGTGAGGGACTCCCATCCTCGCATCCCTGCTGACTTCCATCCTTCCAAGTGTGTGCACACAACTCCCTTAGCCCCTCATTCAGGGCGTGACTGGGCTTCACTGACCATGACTGCAGCCCTCTGTGCCCCGTGGGGGGCTCCTGGGACACGGCCCCCTTTGATCAGAACCTCGCAACACTGTGAGGCTGCACTGTATCACTGTGCCCGCTTCGCGGATGAGGAGACAGAGGCTGGCGCATGGTCAGTGACCCAAGGCCAGGACACAGCAGTGATGGGGACAGAGTTCCTGGGGTCCCTGCGGAGGCTGGAGCCCTGCTCTCCTTGCTTCCTCGGCAGGCAGCCCACCGCCCCTGGGACTGGGGGGTCTGGGGCTTGGGAGAAGGGGCCTCGGGATCCTCAGGTCTAGTGACCTGGCCTTGCTGATGTGTGACTCAAGTCTGGGGCTAATGATATAAAGACGCAGAAAACAGACACAATTCAAACGAAAAGGGGGAAAAAAAAACTTCCTCTACAATCATTTTGGGGATTTTCCATGCTGTTGTTGTGTTTTACTAAGTCTTCCTATCTTATGTATTTAATGCTTTGAAATAACAATGAGTTTTGGTGTGTAGATGACATTAGAAAATTAGCAATAAGTAATATTAAAAATTTGCCCCCAGATGTCAAGCCCCATGCCTACAAACCCCACCTCTATCTTTAAATTTTCCAGCAAATTTACCTCTTTATTTTGATTTTCCTCTCTCTCTTCCTCTCCCCTCTCACAAACAATCAGTTTTTTGAGTTTTCCTCGCCAGCCGCTAGGAGTGTTCAGGGTTTAGAAGGGTGAGGGTGAGCAGGACGGACAGGGTCTCCCCCGGGGCTGGAGGTCAGGCCCTCGGGAAAGTGGGGGACAGTCATTCCCTGAGGTGCTGAGGACAAGGGGGAGGGGGTCCATGTACACACGGCAGATCGGAAAGAATAGCTTTAACCCTCTGTGTCTCGCCTTGAAACAAAACCGGGGTCCGAAATATGTCTGTGAAGTATGTTACATTTTTGATCGAGAGTTCTTATTTAGAGCAAAGGTCCCTGGCACTGAGGTTCGGGGAGTGAAATGAAGCTCTGGTTCTGCCAACCAACTAGCTAAGCGCCCTGACGACTCACTGAGCAAAGCGAGGCTACCCCGTCTGACCCCGGAGGCCTTTCCAGCTCTGACCTTCTAGGATAAGTATGAATCGTCAGATCCAGAAAGGGAATGAAGTAAAAGGATGAAACTTATCTAATTTCATCTCGTCTCTAAAGATTATTTTGTCAAAGGGCGTCACAGCAGGGAAGCTACATGCAGTGGACTTGTACGTCTCGGGCAATGTGGAATTTCAGCCAGGGGACGCTCTCCACAGGATCCGCACTTCATAATCGGTTGAATGAATGAACCCTAGGAGCGGGGTTAACACCCAGTGATAGAGTCAGAGCCTTCTTTGGGCATTAACACAGATCGCCCACAACATGTAGGGCCACAGTTGTCTGCTGCCTCTCCGCTAAAGGCTAATGTTTCTTTGACCGGATGGCAAGTTGAATGAAACTCCTTTCTGAAGTTGAATACTGACCCCCAGATATACCTCTCTCCCAGGAGGAGTCACTGATCTCATCTGGAGTTAATGTTTAATTCCTCAAGCCTGTTTGACTTTTCTGGCCTGTTGTGAGTTTAGAAACTGTTCTGCGCACAGAATGATAAAATTCTAGATCGTCCTGTGTTTATAGTCATCATTCTTGGGGAGCAATGTAGAAATTTTTTTAAAAGAAGCTAGAACAAAGAGAGAGCTTACACAAATGCCATACAGTAATTTGAACAGCGATGTAGATAAATGTGCAGTGGTGGCCCTTTTAAAGGGGGATTTTACTGTTCAGAAGACTGTACTGATTGGAATCAAAAGCTTATCTTTAGTCTATTTTACCCTGCGTGGCTGTTGACATAGATGTCTTGATGTCTTACTTGGATAAACAAAGCCTGAGGTAGCAGAATGGGTTTCAGCTCTGTTTCATCTTGTGGTTTGCCTCCGTGTTCCCATGACAACCTTCTC